CAAAAAAAAAAAAAAAAAAAAAAAGAGAAAGAAAGGAAAAGGGCCAGCTGGGGGTAGGATGGTATGAGGGGGCTAGGAATGGTTTCCTCTGACCTCAAGTGAAGTAAAAAATATTTTCTAGTCAGCTATTTGGGGACGATAAAGCTATATAAATACAAAGCCACATTTTAGGTAACTTGGCAGATTAATTACACTATGATTAAATTACACATTAACAGAATTAATAAAGATAATTTAATTATATATATTTTTGGCAACAGAGTCTCACTCTGTGCCCTGGTTAGAGTGCCATGCATCCTATCTCACAGCAACCTCAAACTTTTAGGCTTGAGCAATCCCCCTTGCCTCAGCCTCCTGAGTAGTTGGGACTACAGGCATCTACCTAGTTTTTTTTATTTTTAATGTAATTGTATAATTTAAAAGATCTCATAAACAAAATCTCCAGGCCCATATGCTTGCACTGGAGAATTCTGTAAAACATTTAAAAGAGAATTATCACCAACTTTATACAAATCTCTTCTAAAACAAAGAAGAGGAAATAATTCTTTCCGACTTTAGAGTCTAGTACTATCCTGATACCAAAATCAGACAAAGACTATATAAACTATAGACCAATATATCTTATTAACTTAGATATAAAAATCTTCAAGAAAATATTATCAATACAAATCTAATAGTGTACAAAAAGAATTACACTCATAAAAAAGTGTGATTTAGGGGTGGTGCCTGTGGCTCAAGGAGTAGGGCACAGGCCCCATATATTGGAGGTGGCAAGTTCAAACAGGGCCCTGGCCAGAAACTGCAACAACAACAACAAAAAGTTTGATTTGTTCTAGGGATATCAGAAAAGATGATGAGGCCCTGCCCTCAGGCCAGTGCTGTAAAGAGAAGTAATCTATTGAAGCTAGAGGATCAAGTGTCAAAGAGAGAGAAGTGTGGAAGGGTATGTAGGAAGAAGGACCCATTTGGAATGATGATGGGAGCATGGTCTTGGAATGGGGAAGGGAACTGGAGATGGTGCTTCTAGTGAGGAATTACTACAATACAGTCCAAGAGGAGGAAATTAAGGTATAATATGTCAACTGTGAAGACAGCAGCTGCCTGAGTCTATATTGGTTTGCAAGGAGTAGTAAGAAATAGGGTTGAATAAATAAAATAGGCTGAGGCCTAAATATGCAAAAGACAAACAGTAGAATTTGGACATCACGTACTGACTAGTGGTTGCTGTGAAGGTTTTTGAGCTGGGAAGGAACATCATATATTTGATGCTTAAGGCAGTTCTACAGATTTGCAAATTGATTTACCACTGATTTGGTGCCAGACTTAATTTTAAACTAACTAAAATAATTAGTTCTGTGTAAACAAAAACACAGGAAATACTCAAGATTCCCACTGACACCGGGAGTGAAAAGTGCCAAGTATTAAAATGTTAAATTTATTTTAAATGCAATTTGACATGAACAAACATCAAAGGCTAAGCAGCTGCGATTTGATTTTGTAACAATAAAGCGGGTAGGTACCTGCAACCAGGAGTAGAGAAGAGAAAGTTATGCAATCTTACTGGCAGGGAAAATGTTCCAAACCAAATATTTTTTTAAATGCCATGAAGCACCTTTTCAGCAACAACCAGGAGAGAAATCCAAGTTTTATAAGTCTTGTACCCATTAGAAAGTCCACATATTCTTTTTATTCATGTGTACTTTGTTAGACTCTTTGTTTTACTTTAATCTGTCCTTACAGTTAACATCGCCAAGGCATACACAGAAAGACGGAACTACGTTGTACCCTTTAAAACTAGATGAGATGAAGAACAAGATGCACAGAGCTCTGCTAAACTTTAGACTATTTTGATGATTTATCTCTCTAGATTGTTCTGTGGAGGTTAAGAGAAAGATTTCTAAACAGAATGCAGGCCTTTTCTTTAGGATGTTGGGGTGAAAGTTTAGGAAGAGGTGAGAAGCCTTTTATAAAACAGACATAGATGTTCTATATATACATTTCAATCCAAACCCTCAGAAAGCACATTTTACCTTCTTAACCTAGATTCAAGGCCCAAACTATTGGGTGTATTCTAATTCATACTTACCTCTGAGCAAACATGGAATCAAAGCGTAGAAAAACCACATGATAAGACTTGTCCAGATTTCCTTTAGAATCCTTGTGAAGGTCTGTGTTTAGTAGACTCAGTTTGACCTGGAACATTATTTCCTTCCAGAATGAACCATTCTTTCCATGTCAGCCACCTTGCTTCAGAACTCATATGTTGGAGCTGATGTCTGAGTCACAGTGAAGCCTGAATTTTTTCAAAGCCAGAGCCGGCCCAGAAAGCTCAGAAAGGGCGGGCTCTGCAGCACCCTCCTTTCTGCCCAAACGCAGATATTGCATCAGGGGGAGTGGCCTAGAAGAGTTCCAGAGAAAAGGTAACTCTGGGGAGCTTGAGAGTCTGCTTACGGGAGGTACATGGACCATAGATTCTCTCCTGTGGGACCCTGGATGTCCTACAAGGCCAGTAAGCAGGCAGGATTATCTCCTCCCCTTATTAAATAGCTGTCCTCTTCCAAGTCTCCTGTGTGTTCATTCAAGTTGGGACTGATACACCCTTTTTGTTAATATATATACCCACTTAAGAAAAAGTAGAAAAGTTAAAAGAAAAATTAATACCTTTCGAAAAGCCAGCAGGTGACGAATATTTAGATTTATATCTGCATGCATTGGCAAAAAGAAAATCTGAAAGGAGATACTGATATAAGAAACAAGATTGGTTACCTTGGGCAGAGGAGTGAGAATTGGAAAAATGGAAAAGAAAATCAAGAACAAGACTTTTGGTAATTTTTTTACACTCTTTGATTACTGAATCATGTGATTATATTACTGAAAAAATAGAACTAATTTTAAAAATAAGGAAAATTTAATGACAGCAGTGTTTGCCCCTTAAAATTCAGCTCTTTATGCACATATATGTACAAGTAAATAGACAATTCAACTCTTTAAGGAGTCTAAATTGCCTTATTGTGATGCAAATACAAGAGTAGGATGAACGTGAATTTTACAGTACAACATATTTTGGTTCCAATTTCAGAACTTACTTGTAACACAACCTTGGGAAAGCTAGTTATTTATTTATTCAATCAACTAACATTCACTGAGGGCCTGCTCTGAGCTAGATCCTGAAAATTCAGCAGTCTATTACCTCAATAAGAACTTCCCATTCAGAAGTTCAGAGAAGATAGACATGGGAATAACCATAAGTCAATATTAAAAATAAAGTGACAAAAATATTCATAAGGGAGCACAGGAGCATGATCTAACCCAGACTATAAGGAGATTCACAGAAGGTTTCCTGGAGGAGGTGACTCTATGCTGAGTATTAAACTCTGAAAAAAATCAACCAGGCATGGTGTATTAAGGAAACCATAAGAAAGTTTGGTACAACTGGAGAGAAAGGTTGAAGTATCAAGAAATAGGGCTCAACAGCAGACATAAACAGATTCCAGAGAGCTGTGAATGCCTTGTTGAGGAGCTTGAGAGCAATGAAGGTCAAAGGAAGGGGTTTGTTAACCATGATCAGCTCAAATTCGATCATGTCATTCTCTGCATTTGAGCTTTAAAAAGTTTTAACAAGGGTGGAGAAAGCAGTGCTGGGGGCCAGATTGGAGGTAGAAGGACCATGGGGGAGCTATGGAAGTCATCTAGGCAAGAGATATTGTTGACCTCTACTAGATTTCTCTTGTTTGTACAAAGAAGAGACTAAATTCAAAAGATAAAGGAGGCAGAACTAACAGCTCCTGGATATTGAGTGGATTGGGAGAGTTCAGGGAGAGAAGCCAAACAAGACTTTCATGTTCTGGATTTGGGTGATTGGGTGGATGACAGCACCTCAAATTGAAATAGTGGAGGGTGGAGTTGGGTCAGGACTAGGGGTGGTGCAGAAAAAGGTTACATGTGTTTATCTTGATACATTTGAATTTGAGCTGGTTATATGGTCAGGAAGTGAATACTCTTTGTCTCAAATTGATGGGTGTCAAAGGTATCTCCCCTACCTCCAGCATTTCATTGGTAACTGAGACCAAGAGGTAGGTGAGATCATCCAAGAAAAGTATTTAGGGCTGGGCACAGTAGCTCACACCTGTAATCCTAGCACTCTGGGAGACCGAGGTGAGTGAATTGCCTGAGCTCACAAGTTCAAGACCAGCCTAAGCAAGGGCAAGACTCCCCCCAAAAACATAGCCGAGCATTGTGATGGGCACTTATAGTCCCAGCTATTTAGGAGGTTGAGACAAGAGAATTGTCTGAGTCCAAGAGTTTGAGGTTGCTGTGAACAATAATGCCAAAGCACTCTACCGAGGGCAAGTAAGACTCTGTATCCAAACAAAAAAAAAAAAAAAAAGCATTTAGATTCAGGAGGGCTATGGATATGACCCTGAGGAAGACCCACATTTACAGAGCAGAGCAAGAAAAAAGAGAAATACAGGGGAAGAAAGAAATAGGTCAGAGGAGTGGTCCTGGAAACAATGAAGAATGAAGTGATTATCAAGAGGAGTGTAGAAGAAAGGTCCAGTGAGTTAATCATTGAAAAATGTCCTCTGGATTTCACAACTAGAAGGTCATTTGTAGACTCAACAAGAAGAGCTTCAGTGGAACGCTTGGAGCAGAAGCTAGATGGCTGCAGAATGAAGAATAAATGGAAATAGTGCTCTTTTAATGCAAAGGGGAAGAAAACAATTCCATGAGCCTTATTTTTTTTTTCGTTTATAAAATAGGTACAATAATGTCTTGCATAATAGCTGCGGGAATTAAATAATAATGTACACAAAGCACATTAACACAGTACAGGAATGTGGTAGGACTTCACAAATGGCTTATCAACCATTTATTTGTTACGTTAATAATATTAACAATAAATAAATTAGGGTCTTATTTGCTCTGCCTGGCTGGCTCTTTGCTGGCTGCCCATCTTTGAGTTTAGCCCCTGGACCAACAAAGGAAAGCTTCCAGTTGAAGAATCTACAAGAAAGTAGTAGTTTAAAAGCATGGGCTCTGCAGCCAGAGTGTCTTAGGAGCACCTGAGGCTCTGCCACTTATGTGTTTCTCCAGACAAGTCATTTAAACTGCTTTAGTGTTCTCATGTGTAAATTGGGAACAATTATAATAGTACATAACTTAGGGCTATTGTGAGGACTAAATGAGATGGTACACTTAGAACACAAAGTAAGTGTACCATAAATATTGGCTGTATACCGTTTTACTATTCCATGGTCAAGAACACTTGCTGAGTGTTCTCCTTGTCCTAGGCCAATGGTTAAATCTAATGACTCCTCTGGTCATCAGCTGCTTGTACACAGTCTCTCACTGTTCCCCTGGCATCTGATCCCGTCTTACCTTCCCTTTAGGGGTGGGCATGCCCCAATCCGGAGTGCTTCATACATGGCTTCAATATCTGTCCCTAGTCCTACCTTTGCCCTAAGTCCATTTCTGTTCACAGGTGCAGCATGTCAAAAGTTAATAATATAAGACAGTGTGCATTGGGTATCTACTATCAGGAATTATTCTAAAGGAATTATTCTTTTCACATACTGTATATATTTTCATATGTTATACAACAGACTTGCATAGTAGGATTTGATTCTTCACTTTGCAAATGAGGACACAGAGCTCAGGGAAATTAACTTATAGATCACAGAGCTACTTAGGAATGGAAACAGGAATTGTGAGCTCTGCCTAAGTCCAAGTTTTTTTCACTCACCTTAACTGCCTCTCACAATGTTTTAGAGGTGCACAGAGGAGTGTGTGATCCAAGACATTAGTGAAGACTTTAGAGAACAGACTTCAATACGGGGTTTCAAGGATGCACCTACCTAGATTTGGGTAGGAGAGAGAGATGCATTCACTGTTCAGCATTCCAACTGGGAGAATGACACCAGCAAGACCAAGGATGGAAAGGTTGGGGGGAATACAGACTAAATTAGAGGAAGAAAAAGACAGGATAAGTAAACAGAGAAAATGGAAATGAGAATAAGACTCCTTTAGCTATGTTGTGGGTAAGGAAGAAGGGCTGTTTATCAAGCTCTGGTCTGAGTGTCTTCTTGGATCATGACACAGGCTTGAGTAGAACTGTCATTCAGTAGCTTAGATAGACAGAGGGCTTTCCTCTCAGAGCCTCTTTGGGTGTACTGAGCCAGGATATTTTCTCCTTGCATTGGCTTGTGAAGGACCTTGTGAGAGCATGGCAATGTTGGGAAGGGTTGTCTTGACAAGGACTCATGCTCAGGTAGAACTGTCCACCTTAAGATCTCAGAGCTTGATAAACAGCCCTGGAACTGGAAGAACAGTACTTTTGCACAATGATTTTCTATGATTTTATAAGTGGGTTAAAAGAGTCTCAAAGCTTTGAGTACTTGCAATGGGCTTTCAGGGACCTTACTCCTTCCTGTGTGACAATTTTTCAGTAGTTTCAAGAATTTAGAAGTGGCTGACCTTCCCTGAAAGACAAGGAGAGGAGTTGGCTGGTAGAAAAAAATTATTCCTGAAAACAATTAAGTGACATTTAAGGACAGTGAAGTGGCACAACAGATTAGATCGCAAGCATTGTCTGAATCCTGCACAATTATCTCTGAGCCAGGAAAGTTTCATCCCAGTGGGTACCTCACACTTCAACAGATAAGCAGAAGTGCATCCATATTGAATGGTGTGAAGAAATGCTGGTCAGATTCAGACGGAAGCATGCCTACGTGTGTTTCTGACATCGTTACTAGTGATGAAACCTGGATTTACCAGTTCCAGCCAGAGAATAATCATCAGCTGACACTGTGGATTTTTTTCTCCTGATGAAAATCTACCAACAAAAATGAAATGGCCTCAAAGTGTCAGAAAGAAATGGTAGCAACTTTCTTTTCTAAAAGTGGGTGTGTTGCAACAGTTCTTCTGGAGAACAAAGGACTATTACTGCTTAATGGTACACAACAGTACACCTACCAAAAGTTTTCGGGAAACTTCAAGAACTGTGGCCATGCATAACACTGCAGGGGACTAACTTGCACCACGACCATGCATGTGCACACATAGCCAGCATTTCAGTTCTTGGAGTCCACAGAGGTTAAACTTATGACTCACCCACCCTATAGTCCTGATCTGGCTCCATGTGATTATTTCCTGTTCCCTACAGTAAAAAATTGCATGAAAAGGCTGGAGCACTTGAAAAAAGTGGAAAAGTATTTTCAAAAATGGCTTACAAGAATGCAAAAGTGCATAAAATGTCATGGTAATTATTTTGAGAAAATATAGTAATTGAAATGATTTTACATTTCTTAATTTTTGTGTATCTCAAAACTTGTAGTGTCCTCCTCATAGGTGGAGCACACAATATTACTCAAAAGTCAATTTTATCATCCTATAGAAATGAACACCCCACTCTTATTCTCCAACCCCC